CTACTTTTCACTCTAAGACTGAGGTCAAATATATGCAGAGGACTAATGGAGGCTAGTTCACTGGGCTTGGACGGGATGGAGTGATTCTCCAAGATGAAGGGCACCAGGGTCAATGTCTGTTATTTCTGCAGTGTTGGAGATGAAACCAAACCACCTCTTCCAGAACTTCTCTACCAAGCCGGGAGAAGGGATTACATAATGAAAACAGCATAGGGCACTCTATCATCAGAATACTGTACAACCTTCATTTCCATCCAAAGGAAACTTCCAGTGCCACCATCAGAAAACCAGAGCCTGGGAGGCTTCCAGCCAACTCCTGCACACTATGGTTTTTATGTCATTTTAAAAAATTGTCTCAGTCTTGTGTTCCCAAGGGGTTGAGCAGAGGTATCCTAAAACAGTTACACAACAGCTATAGAGAAGGGGAGGAAAAGGGATTGCGGCAGCCCCTCACCCTGCCAGGGCACTTTCTTCATCTCCCTCTCTAGCTCTCTCCGGTGAATACATGTACTTTCTGGAAATTTTTAAAAGAAAGAGAGGAAAGAAAGAAAGAAAGAATATCTGAGCTTTTGGTGTACATACACGTACATATGCACATTCACTTATTTCTATTATAAATGTAATAGACACTTTTACTTATTTATATTATCTAATTAATAGAAATTAAATTTGACACTTTAAGACACACTTATTTATATTATCTAATTAATAGAAATTAAATGTGTCCGTGCTAGTTAAAAGTTCTCCAAGTGAATTTAAACTTATTTACATACGATTGTATATAATTATCATAGGCCAGAGGAGTTTTACTTTTTATGAATGTTTACTGTAAAAATGTTCACCCCAAAGTAGAGAATGCTGTAATTAATCTCTATATACTCATCTCTCCAAATCATATGTCTCCAGATTTTTCCATATTTTATTCATTTTTTTCTTTTTCTCTCTCCTTCCTTCCTGTTTTCTCTCTTTTCATTTGGTTGCCAAGGAATTCTGAAGGGCCTGCAGACCTCATGCCTCTTATCTCTACACACTAACTACGCAGCTCAGAAAATACGGCAGTTTATCACAATGCTACGAAGCCATTCTCTAACTCTGCAGATGAATAATGATACCTTAGTAATACCGAGTACCCATTAGAGAGGTTGGAAGGGCTAAATCTAATCCATGAACATGGCAGGGAGTAGGGGGTGAGGGGGGCAGTATAGGGAAGGAAGCTCATTCTGGAATCTCTAATGAGAGCAGCTGAGAGAGTGAGGTGGAAGATGCTGAGACAAGAAAGGCAGACTCCAATGCCCCCAGCTGCTCAGATCCAGAATGAGAAACCGAGTGTCTGCATGGTAGTAGGGCCCGCAGAGCCACCAGGCAGCTGGGGGCACTAGGGTCTGCCTTTCAGGGGTCATCGCCTCCCACCTCAGTCTGGCGGTCTGTGGCACTTACAGGAGAAAGAAGGACACCAGAGGAGGACAGAGAAAGGAGCGCCTTCCTATCTGGCTTATGTAACACATGTGAGCTTTGTGGTCTAGGTGACCTGGACGTGTGTGTCCACTGGATACCACCAGAGCTCCCAAAGGCAATACAATTCATTCATAGCCATGAAAACAATGGAAATTCTGTCTCGGATTCTCATGTTCCACTGAGCACTTCAGAGCATTTCACTTTGCTTCCTAATTTCAGACCTGTGAGGGGTTTTAGTTTGGAGAAATTTAATATATGGTTCCCTCTTCCAAAATAATTTTTTTAATTACCCAATAATCCCCCCAAAAAATGGTGTATCTATAGTGAAGTGGTTCTTATTTCCTCTTCCTCATGGCCAACATAGTTCTTTTAGACACAATAGAATGACTTACCCCCCCAAAATATACATTTATTTTCATTTTAAGTCTCCCAAATCAGATTTTCTTTGTATAAAGGTCAGGAGACACTTGGTTTAATGGTGCTTATGTCTATCTAAAGCACATTAATTTGTCTTTTCTTGCCAAGGGCAGAAAGTCTATCATCAGAAAAGTAGAAAATGGGCAACCGAGATGAGAATTCTTCCTGTGGCGACATTGTCACGGCAGCAGAATTGATCGGTAAAGCCCTGCCCAGAGCAGTTCTTGCATTCAGACCTTTGCCTAACAAGAGAGTTGTAGCTCAACCTCTTCCTGTGTGTACACCACGTGCACTGCACATTTTGTACGAAGGGCAAATGGCCAGAGTTAAAAATCAACATTTGTGGCCAGCTAGTAGCATGGGGGTTATGGCAGCTAGATCCCACATGACCAATTGTACTGTCCAAATCCTGGACTTGGTGGCTTGAAAAATGCCACTGGCATGTGTGGATATATGCCCCAAATCCCTCAAGGAGGGAGAAATGGAGAAGGGATTGTGACATTACCACCCCTCATGGGAGGTGCTTTCTCGCTTTATCTCTCTGTCTCTCTGGAGAGCTCATGCACTCTCTTGCAAATTAAAATAGGAATAGAGAGAGAAAGAAAGAAATCATTATTTGGTTCAGCCAACCAAGGCAGTGTGGCCATATGCCATGCTCTGCATTGCTGGGCACAAAGGAAGGTCCAGGGTTGCTTCCAGAAGGTTCCTTGTGCATGCCAGGTGAACACGTGCACATGATCCTGGCATGGAGACTACCAGGGCTGTCTCTCTTTCTCTTCCTCTGTTCCACACTCTGTCTCAGACTTTTTTTAAAAAAATCAGTATTATTTTTAAGTGAGATTATTATTCATTTTGATTTTTAAAACATTTAGTAGTTGAATGTGTTTAATTAGTTGAATTATTATGCAGGAATAAAAACTTCTCAACTTTGATAATAAACATTTCTGGTACTAAATAGCCATTCATTTTCACTGAGGTCAGAAGAGGAGCCAAACCTTTGAAGGCATCTAACTCACAATACACAGGGTACTAGATAGGCCAATGTTTACCTCATGCATTTTCCGTGTAGAAACTGATTAGATAAAACTGTGAAGAACAGACTTTTTAAAAGCATTCTTGTAAATTTTCCTGTACAATTAGTCAGGGGAAAAATAGATTTGGGAACCTCCTATTTCTCCTTTCATCTGTTGTCTTTCTACTACTCATTAAAGTTTAATAGAAAATGAACTACCTAGGATATCTTTGTACCTGATTTTGTTTTGTTTCTCCTTTTCATACAATTATAAAGTGGTAAAGTTGACATTTTGCTTTTAGCTTATTCTCACAAAATATGAAATGCTTGCAAATTAAATTTTTGTGAAATATTTGTCTCCTAAATGGAATTTAACACAGTTTTGAAAGATTATTTTGGAAAATGTTATGCATGCTAGTTCACCAAGCAATTTTACAGAGAGAAGAATTATGATATTCTAATGATTTAATTTTTTATAATATTTATTAACTCAAAAAATATATCCTTAAAGATATGTAACTATAGTATTCTCTTAATGTTTATATTAACTTCAGTTTATTTCTGTAATTAACTACTTGAAAGTACTCAGTCATTGTTTTTGCATGAAAATGAACAGAAATCACAGTTATTAGTAGCTGCACCTTTTACTCTTGTAATTATAAATAAGCATTTTATACTTCAAAAGTTTATTTAAGGCTTTGCTATAGGGCATGTATAATCACCAGAGACAGACAGGAAGAAAGAGGAGAGAGAAAGTGAGAAATCAGCCCCTGCCGGGGCGGAGGGAGGATGGCCACACTACAATCCCTTCTCCATTCTCCTTTTGGGATCTTGGGCGTGCCCACACATGCCGTTGGTATGATTTTCAAGCCGTCGGGTCCTGGGCTCCAACCACACAGTCAGCCATGTGGGATCCAAGCCAATTTGACCTCCACACCACCTGCTAGCCTTCTACTTAAGATCTAGTCCATAAGAATTTTGCGTAAGTTAGATGTGGAATGTTTATTTATATTTGAAAATGAATATTTACATGTGAGCCATACATCTAAAATGATGTCCCTCTTTTCCCATGTCATATTTTTTAAAAAGCTAGCTATGTGTATATATTATTAGCTTGATTGTGGTAATTATTTTACAAAGTGCGTATGTATCAAAACATCACACTGCACATTTTCAATGTACGTGGTTCTGGTTTGTCTCTTGTACCTCACTGAAATTCAAAGAAAAAAAAACTGTATTCCTTTTATGTTATAGTTGTCGTTACGCTGATTATATATATTTGTATAAAATCATAGTAAATATGGAACCTGGACCTTCGTAACACATGGGCATGCTAAGTGTTTAAGGGTTTAAGGTAGAAGGGGGTGTTGACTGTTACAGAGCACAGGTATCAAACTGGTGAGCCTTGACTACCTAAGCAGATCTTTATCCTTTTGTCACTCTTCATGTCCCATGTTAATGGTCTCTTATCTGAAATGACATTTACTGATGCCTCTTATATACCAGGAACCATTCTTAAAACTACTCAGACTGAAAATGTGACTAAGCGGGCTGCTGCCCTCCGACACTGGGGGGCATGGGTGGCACAGAGTGGGCATTCATTAAATGTTTCCCAATCAAACAAATCAATGACAAGAGTTTGCAAGTTCCTTTTTGACTTGCGTTCATTTAGAAGTTTCAATGCCATAAGTAAATCATCAAAATGAAATGTAATTTTGAAAATAAAGGGCATAATACTCCTAGGTCCTATTGACCAGGTCATTTTTCCCACTAGAAAAAAAAATGAAAAGATTTTAAATCATTAACAGCAATTTTTGCAATAATATTTTCATGTTTAAAGAGTCCAGGTAACAAGCTGAGGTGGAAATCTGATATCTGTAGACCTCTCATACAGAAATACAGAATACTTCTTTTGAAAATCAGGCCATGCAAGCATTCACTATTCCTCTTTGGACAGGAGTTGGAAAATGGAGAAATAAAAGGAAAACAAAAACTTTACCCAGTAGCTCTGCAGAAGGATCCATGTCCACCTCCAGATTTGACTTATTTTATTTATTCCTTGGCAGGTGAGATGAGATTAGGATTAATAACAATGTCATCTATCTTATCAAACTAGGAACAACCGGCAATGAAGTATTACAAACAGTCCTGACGTCAACAGTTCCTTCATCAACAACAGTAAAAGGTGATGGTAAGTAGGAATACATTTTACCATGATTTTTAAAATGTAGGTAATTTATATACCACGATAGTCATTTTTTATACAATTATTTATTTAATTTTATCTGTTATTATTTAACTTGCTATAAGGCACATGTGCTCACCAGAAAGAGAGAAAGGGAAAGTGAGAAAGCAAGCCACCAGGTCCAGGATTTGAACCACAGTTCAAGTGGGAGTCCAGTGCCTTAACCACCACATGACCTGCCAGTCCCAGCAGTCACTCTCTGAAAGTGTGGTTGTTTTAGGACATTCACATTACATGACCATTGACATTAATTCAAAAATATTTTCATTTTCCCAAAAGGAAGCTCTATATCCCTGATCAAGCATTCCCGGTTCTCCCCTTTTCCCATCTTTCCACCAACCTACTTTTTGTCTATATATTTGCCTATTCTGGACATTTTGCATAAATGGAACTATGCAATATATGACCTTTTGTATCTGGCTTCTTTCACTTAGCATAATGTTCCCAGTTCATCCATGTTATAGCAATATCTGTAGTTTATTCATTTTTTATGATTGAATACTACTTCGTTGAATGACTGAATACTATTTCATTGTATGATATATCACTTTTTAAAATCTATTTATTAGTTGATGGACACTTGAGTTGCTTGTACACTTGGGGATTATAAATAACAGTGCTATGAAAATTTGGATACAAGTTTTTGTGCACTGATATGTTTGTCATTTCTCAAGAGTAAATATCTCAAAACAGAATTATTTCATAATAGTCACTTTACATGTAAAAATTTGAAGAACTGAGACCAGCAAATGGTGTAATGGTTACATCACTGGACTCCTGCTTATTCGACCATGGTTTGAGTCCCAGACCTGGTGGCTTAAAATTCACGCCAGACATGTGTGTGTGTGTGGGTGCCCAAGATCCCAAGAGGAGACTGGAGGAGAATGAATTATGGCATGGCCATCCCTCCTGGGGGAGTGATTTCTCACTTTCTGTCTCTCTGTCCCTTCTGCAAGTGCATCCACCCAATAGCAAAAATCTCTCTAAAAAGAATTTTTTTGAAGAACTAATTTCCATAAGTGTTGTACTATACTACATTCCCACCAGCAATGTACAAGAGTTCCAATATGAATAAAGAAATGGTTTCTTAGGTTTGGTCCCTAATGCAAAAGAGACAAAGAAAACATACATAAATTATATTCCATCTAAATTAGAGATTCTAGTGCTTCAAAGGGTAATAACAAGAAAATAAAAAGACACTATAGAATGGGAAAAAATAATTACAAAGTATCTGTCTGATAAAGTTCTAGTCTCAAATATATAAAAATCTCTTACAACTAAACAATAACAAGACAAATAGCCTAGTTTTTTATTAAAATGGGCAAAGGACTTAAATAGCTATTTCTCTAAAGGAGAGATACAAATGGCTAACAAGTACATGAAATATATTCAACATCATTCATTACTAGTGAAACGGAAATTAAAATCGCAATGAGATACTACCTTGTACCCCCTAGAATGAAAGCAATAAACGTAATGAGAAATACATATGACATGCATTGACTAGAATATTAGTGAAGTATATTCCATACTGTAATAGGCAGATCTCTAAGCAAAACCTTTAGCATTGTATATTTTTCTGATCTGGCAGTCCTCCACATGTTTCTTAGTTATATATTCTCTTTTCTACCAGCAAGACTTGAGTCTGCTTTACACTAGGGAATTCTTTAAGCCCTCCAGATTGCTTTTTCATCTTTTCCATTTTTAGCTCAGCTGAAGAATTCTGCTGCAAAAATTTCTGGTGAGGAACTCCTGTTCTTATATTTTCCAAAACATACATTGGGATTCCAGTGGAAAGCAAAATATTTATCCCTATGTATTCTTCCATTGTCAAGAGTTCAGTTTCTGCATCTTGGGTGACCTTTCCCTCTTCCATGTTATCATGAACATCAGTTTCGACTTCACTGCCGTAATAAGACAGGTCTCTACTGGCTCAAATGTTTCCCTTTCATTTAGTACTTCAAGATGCCTCTGAATTTGTGTTCATTTCCACTCTTCTTTCTCAAATGCAGAGTTAACACTGTCATCTGTTTTTTAATTTATTTCATTTTTGGTTGCATACCAATTCCTGAGAGCTCTTCATCTAAAGATGCTTATCTACTGTCTATGAGATTTTCTGGCAAGCTATCACTTTCTCCAGCACAAATCCCTCCATTGTTCAAAGGATTCACATTGTATAATCGATGTTTGTTGCTGTAGAATGGGAACTGACTGGCATTCTCATAGGCACCAGCAATTCATGCACCATCATTCTGTGATAGAAATCTACTAAACTGCTTTCCCCCATCTCCAGCTAGGGTCATATCTAGCTAACATGAAGTATGTCTGTCCTTTCTTCACAAGTTTAGCATTCTCTATACTAGACTGAAAAACTGAAAAAGCATCAGTCAGTTTGCTTTTATAATATTTATGCAAATATGAATTATTTCAAACCATCTTATTCAAATATTATTCTTTAAAATCTCAGTTTATCTTTTTAATTGTTAATTTCCCTTTTTTTTTCTTTCAAAAATATGAACTAAGTATACCTTATAGTGTATCTTATTTAGTTCCTGTGATTTCCTCCCCCCCCTGGCTATTTCATCTCCTAAAAGTGCTCTTCCAGGCAGCATGAGAAAGCCATGGTGGTGGCCAAGCTACCACCCTTCCCAAGGGAGCTGAATGATTAACTCTTGTATTGAATAGGCTTGGATTCAGGTCATGACTCTTTCCTATTACCAATTATGTAACTGTATAGAAGTTACTTAATTGACATAAATAATATTATGGTCAAGTCACATAAATAAAATTATGTCATAATGATTATTTAATTTAGAGGGCATCTTTGATGATCAAATGAGATCACCTGTAGCAGGCACATGAAAAAGTCTAATGCTCCTTCACTTCTTAAAAAGTAAATAAAAAATGAATATTAAAATGCTGGGATTTTAAATCTTGATCAGAAGACTTTCAGCAATTAATTGCCCAAGTATAACTAAAGGTTAATATAAACATTAATACAATGACCTAGTGATTTTTTGTACTCCTAATGATTGCTCTTTTTTTTTTTTCAGAATTAAATGTTACAACCAATGGTGTCAAAAAGAATGAGTCCACCATTATGAATACAACAGTGACAAATCTTCCACTTTTAAATACTGTTCCCACATCACAAAGTCCCCAAAATAAGAGTAAGTATGAGGATTTGTGCTGAAATGTTAAACTAATGTATTGGGTAGGATTAGCTTCATAATCTGTTCCTGCCCAGAATGGTTGAGGAATCATGCCCTAATCTCCCTTTTCCTGGTCTCTATCTAATATGACAACCATTCTGTAACATTTTTCATCATGATATGCCATTTTGTATGGGTGACAAATAGATGGGTTCCGAAGAAGGTTAAGTCAAACCAGGCAGTAATTTATGATATACTCTGGCATAGAAAGGACAGCTCAGCCAACAAATGAGACAAACTGGAAACATTCTTAGAAAGAAACAAATCACTGAAAATGATTGAAGAAGATATGGAAGTCTGAAAAGACCTATTAACAATTAAAGAAATTAAAGTAAGTATTTTAAATATTCCTATGAAGGAAACCCTAAGTTGGTCAGTAATTGATTAATACATGCCATGATGGTTTCAACTGTGAATTCTATAAAATATTATCAAAGGAAATAATATCAGTTCTTCCCAAACTCTTTTCAAAAATAGAAGAGGGGGAAATATTGTATAAACAAGTCTATGAGGCCAACAAAACTCTGATATCAAAGCTAGAAAAGAATAAAAAGAAAAAGAAAACAAAGAGAATAACAGACCAATACCCTTTGTGAATATCGATGCAAGTATCCTTAATAAAATAATTGCAAACTAATTCAGTAACATATAAAAAGGAATATAAAACATTAAGAGGGAGGATTTATCTCATTAATGCAAGGTTGATTTAAGACATGAAACTCAAATAAAATAATACAACATACTAGTGGAATCAGAACATGCAGAAAGAACATTTGATGAAATCTAAGAAGTACTCATAATCAAAATTTTCAATGAACTAGAAATAAAATAGAACTCCCTCAACCTTATAAAGGGTATCTATGAGAACTCGATAGTCAATATACCTAATAGCAAAAGACTTAATGTTTTTCTCTTAAGATATGGATACAGCAAAGATATCCATTCTCATCACTTCTAGTCAACAGTATAACCCAGGGTTCTAGATAGGGCAATGAGTAAAATAAGTTTTAAATACGTACATACACACACATATACCAGGTCCAGTATATATATATTTATAAATACACACATGACCAAAACATAGGTGTGAGTGTTGTGTGTGTGTGTGTGTGTGTGTGTGTGTGTGTGTGAATTTCTTAGGGACAGAAAACAGGCAACTGGTTCTTCACAGCTTGAGGAAGGAGTGGGGGTTGACTAAAAAAAGGCTTAAGAAACTTTTTTATGTTGATGGAAATATTTTAAAACTGGATTATGGTGATGGTTGAACAACTCTATAAATTTATTAAAAGTTACTAGTTGTATACTTAAAATCAATGATTTACTACTGTATAAATACTGTAATATCTTTATAAAGCTTTGTTCAAAAATAAAAGGAAAGAAAATGTTAAGCTGGACAATGAATTTTTCTTCACAGAGCACTAGAAATTAGAAAACCCAAACAACCACATGAAGGAGATAGCTATGGCAATTGAAGCTGCAAAGTTTCCTTAGAGTGAGTCTGGAGTAGTCACTGGGAATTAAATGTGCGCCTGTGGCATAATAAAGCAGATATGAATAAGTAGGACTGGTAGAGAAGAATGGAGAGTTTGTGGGAAGGTGGAGAATTATTCTGGCTTCTTTGATATCAGTAATCTGTACATAGAGTCTAAAGCTACAAATCTGAGTTAGCCCTGTGGGGAAGTAGCTAAGCACTTTGTAGAAGGAGTCAAATCCCAACCTGGTTACTTGAAAAACAAGCCAGTTACAAGTGCACACATGCTCGCTGTCTCTCTTTCTCTCTCTCTCTCTCTCTCTCTCTCTCGCTTTCTCTCTTTCTCTCCCTCCCTTCTGCCCTCTCCTTTATGTACACATACCCTCTGGCAAACACACACACACACACATACACATACACACACAAACAAAAACAAAACACACACACAAAAGCAACCTAGCATTCTGCAAGATAGCCTTATCAGATACCATTCATTATAAATAATGGATGCATTTTTGGTCTATCCCTAGTCCTCAAGAAGAAACAGCTACAGATGATGTATAATCTGTAAGTCTCTTCTTGGAAAACTTCTAAGGTAGAGGAAGATAGCAAGTAGAAAATATGGGTATCCAAGACCCACTTTTGTCTAGAAACACAAGAACTCCATTTCCCCCTTATTTATAGTAATCATCCTAAGCACAAAAAAAAAAGGTTGTCTAGAAGTCTAATTTCACACCATAATTGTAAACAAATAGTTCTTTTTTGAAATGGTAACTCATAGAATTTAAAAAGCAAGACCATATCTCATTCACATAAAGTACATTTTCTTGTAGTAGCATTTTGTGTTACAATAAGTGAAACCTATTTTGTAAGCAATATGTGTCTGAAAGCTACCTTTAGTGAATCAAAGCTCATTTTCCTCATAATATGATTGACTTTAATATAAAAAAGAATAAACTATGTATAAATCTACAAAGTGTGTTGCAGGTTCTGGAAGATTAACACAAGTGATTTGCACCCTGCACTAAATACCCATTTGAAAGGAGGAAAATGCCATTCAGAGACTCTGGTTTTTTCAGAATGATGTGGTCAGCCCATGAGTCACTTTAGACTCATAATTTCATTTTGATTCGTGTAGTAAAGTGCCCTCTGTATCTTAGTTTTGAGGACTGTAGTATTTATTTAGCTTCTGAAAACAGTTTGAAGTGGCTTTATTCCAAGTCGTTAAAAAATACATCAAAGCCATTTCTTAAAAATTGAAACACCCTGGAAAGCAAGATAATGAAATAAGGGCATTTACTGCTTTTCTTTGCATTTGTTATTTGATTAACCAGTTCTATACTAGGTCTTTTAAATGTTTGCTACAAAACTCACTCTTTGGGTAGCCATTGTTCCCCAAATCTCTTTCCTCTAGTTGCCTACCACCCAGCATGTGTCCCACTTTATGTAATGAGTTTGCACATATTTCCATTTGCCAAAGGATGAAACTAGGACCCCTCCCAGATTCCTCATTAATAGAAGACTGTTTTCTTCCCGCTCTTCACCCCAATTCACAATCAGAATTAACAGTCAGGACAAAAAGGCCGACAGAGAAGAAAACAATCTACTGTTAGGAGAAGGTTGAACTGCTGAAAATTGCTGAAAATTCATCTTCCTCTTAAACATATGGGCAGTAGTTTCTCAGGTAAAGACATTACAATGTATCATATCAAGAGGAGGTGTGGTGTTATCGGTTGAAGATATTTTGATCACCGGGACTGGGGAGAAATGTTCACATATTGAAATGCTCACATTGTAAGCTAAACAATGTGATTGAATGCATATAAAATAATTAATTAATTAATTAATTAATTAATTAAAAGAAAAGACTAGAGCAAGTGCAGGTTTGATTTAGAGTAGAAGAGTTGGTAATTTTTTTGCTTTACTCCACAGAAAGGTAGAATGCTAATAAAAAAAAAAAGTATGCGCTCAAAATATTTGTCTCTAATCTGCCTATCCCTTAGAGTTGTATTTCTCTTGTTTGACTTTTTTTCTGTAGAAAACAAATTCCTATAATTCCAGAATTTTTAAGATAAAAATTCTTACTAATTCAGTGCTCTGACTTTATTATTAAAGAAATGTAGGCCCTTTGACTACATGGACTAATTGACTGATTTATTTAATAAAAATCTGGATGGTGATCTGTACCTGACATTATTCTGGATTGTGAGAGAGTTTTATATTAGATAGACAATACCATCCTAGAATTAGTCTTATAAAGTGTATCAAAAAGATAAGTTAAATAGTGATGATTCAATATCAAATAATAAGACATATTCTAAACAATAATAAAACAGAATTTAAACAAAGCAAAAAAAAATTGATGCCAATTTTCTTAGGGTGCTCAAGAAAGCCCTCTCTCAATAAGTGGTATTTGAGGAGAGAACTAAGTCAAGTGAGGAAATAAACATATTTCCATTTGGAGATGAAACCTGCAATAAGAGAAAATACTAAATGCCCAAGTGCTGACATGTAGATTTAAGTTGTCTGAATAATAAAAGAGAAGCAACTGTGATTGGAATGGGTAAAAGGAAGAGAAAATAAAGTAGTAAATACCATCAGAAACAGGGGCCAATCTATACAAGGCCAAATAGACCAAGGCAAGGGCAGTGAATTTTACTCCAACACCAGTTTGATGGGAAGTTGAAAGCAGGGCAATGATATGATCTCATTTACAGTTTTAAAAGAGTTAAATGCTATAAATATGAGTGGAAAACATAAGAAAAAGTTTCATGCTAATCTGGGCAATTATTTTTTAATATGACCCCCAAAGTATAGGCAACAGAAAGAAAAAATATACAGATGAAGTTGCATCAAACTAAAAAGATTCTCCATGACAAAATAAACCATCAACTGAGTGAAGAGACAACCTATGGAATGAAAGAAAGAATTTTCTATTCATACACTTATAAGGGGTTGATATGATAAATGTATAAGTAATTCAAACAACTCAATAGAAAGAATTATCACCAATTTTAAAATGGGCAAAGAACCTGAGAAGACATTTCTCAAAAGAAGAGATATAAATGGTCAACCATTACATGCAAAAATGCTCAGTATCACTGATTATCAAAGAAACTACAATGAGATATCACCTCACACCTGTTAGTACTGCCACTGTTAAAAAGACAAAAGATTAAAAATGTTGACAAGGAGGTGGCATAAGGGAATCCTGTACACTCTTGGTGGGGACACAAATTAGTATGAACATTGTCAGTTTTTAAAATTGTATGTTATTCATTTGTAAACTGCTGATTTCTTTGGGACATTTTCCCATCAAATTTTTGTAAAACATCAATGACTTCATCACGTTTCCTCCTAAGAGCCACCATCAATTTTAAGTTTGTTCTTGCTTCAATTTTATCAGAATTCATGTTGTTCTACTTATAAGTAAGTATCTTCCATGCCATAAAGCAATTCTCAATACATTTTAAGTGCCATAAATCAT